ACACACATAAAAAAAATAAATTCTCTCGATTTTTTCTGATTTTTGTCAAGACCGAAGTCAAGCATGCGTTTAAGATTTATTACTATATTTTGGCATTTTTCTGTAGTCATCATTCCGCGATTTGTAGACCAATACTGCTCATTTCGAATCACACAGGCAGATGCGTATCGTTCGATTTTCGATATCCATTCCTTGAACGTTTATCCTCCGCGGCTCTTCTCGATAGTATCGGGTAGTAGCATGTAGTACTAGTAACCTCAGTTACTACTATCGCCCATTCTCTTCTCTCTCTCTCTCTCTCTCTCTCTCTCTCTCTATTTCCCCAGATTTGCCGGAACTTCGACGAGAGATCAGTATCCTTGTTTCATCGAGATTTCACCAGTCGATATTGCCCGTCCAAATACTCTCTCATCCACTTAGTGTCCATCTCTTCACTTTCCCTCAATCGATCCTTATCTCCTTCAAAGAGAAAGCATCATCTCGTGTCCGATGCTTTATCAAATGACTAAAGCAAATGACTAAGCAACAGTAGGCTTCTCGAGCAGCTTCTCAGTTCGAAGCTGACAAGTAATTTAATGATACTGGACTGTTACACGTGAAATATCCAGTTTGTATTTTAAATAATTCTAAAAAATACTTCGAGAGAATTATATAAATATTTCAGTCACGCGCTTTTAACTCGTTTCCTAATAAAAAAAAATCAACTGTTGGATATGAAAGAAAACGTCTGGAATGTGTAGCATTTTAAGTGAAATATTTTATGTTACCAGCGTATTTGCTATTTCCGCTATTCACACGTTAACTATTATTCAGTTCCTCAGAAGTCTCCGTTCACAGGAGTTGTATGACAGATTCTTTTTTAAATTACGTTGACTACGCATATCAATTACACTTCACGCTTCATCCATCGCATCGCGTAAATCGCGACGTAATAATCTCTCCGCAATTTATTTGCGCGAGTCCTTCACGTAATGCCGTTGGCGGCGACGCTTTCCCTGTTAACTCGCCTACAGTATTCCCAAACTTTGCATACTAATTAACCGGGCGTTTATCTGCCCTCTCTATCTCGTACTCGAGAGACCTCTTCCGTTTGGGGAACGATTCTACTTTTTGTTACCTATCTCTGTGCCACTTCATGCGCGCTGATTAAATATTCCTTTATCTCCCGTTTCTACGTGGTTTTATCGACAAGTACATGCGCTCACGATGTTATTACAGCGCTTTCGTCCTGTTAAAACTTCGCGTAACGACGCTACGGTCTTTCTATTCATTATACTGAATTGACGAGCTTTTACGAAGTATGTCGCGATGCACTTTTCGATATCGTGGCGATTCTGATCACATAAGTTTCAATTTTATTTTCTAGTCGTCATACGTATATTAATTGAATTATTATAATAAATATGCGAAAGAATTTAATGCTATACAAAAGTTATATATTAATCTTCATTTAGTAATTAATATTTCATGCATGGGTCTTTAATAATTCTTTGAAAGAATTTTAATTTTAAATCCTTTTCGGATTTTAATATCTAAATGATTTGAAAATTTTGATGTTTTAATAATTTAATATATATTTTAATGATTTTTATAATATAATTTAGTAATTTTAATATAATTTAGTAATTGAACAATTTATCACTTTACGTATGTAATTCGTTAAAAGGATTTTATTATATAATTCTACACGTAATCGCGTAAGCGGATAATCAAAACCTTTCAAAAAATTAAATGCAACAAAACGTATGGGAAGGATCTTCATAAAAAAGTTCACCGTACAAGGATAAACGTGCGTTGATATATCAAGTAAATAAATCAATGAATGAAATTGAGGTCGGTTCAATAAACTCGTATGAAAAATGTAATTTGACATTTTTTATTCTTTTTCTGCGCTTCGGTTTTCTTGCTACATTTTACATGCTGATTAAAGATTTTATTACCGCAACGAATAAAAAAATACGCGAGTGGATTTAAAGTCATTTTTCTGATCCTTTTGAATCTTGTAATTAATTCTCTTATCTTACTTTTACTTTTTCTTCAAGCTCTTTATCCTTATTAATCCATATATGACTTGCTCATAAATCGATAGAAAGTATCAGAAAAACAAGAATATATGTTTTAATTTCTTTTCTGTTCTTTCCTTCATGAATATAGTAGATAACATAATGCAATAAATAACGTAAATGACGTATTCAAATAAGTTCCGCAGGCTGTAGCACTTAATAAGAACATTTAAATGTTAACAAATTCTATAGTTCTTGAATTATAAATGATATGTAATTTGATATCTTTTCATAGAAAATAAACAATAAATCTAGTTGTAAATTTGCTCATGAATTTATTATTTATTCGTTAAAACTCGATATGCCATCTGTTCGTAATTATATTTTGCATTTAACCTCGAGGGCACTTTAAATATATTATTTAATTATGAATTAAATTAAATTCCCTCAGATGCAACAATGAAACTATTATTATTTATTATTATTATTCATTATTAATATTAAATGTATCTTTCATAACGAAATATATAACGAGTCAAGTCTAGCTTATTCATAATTCAAGGAATAAAATTTGCATTTTTCGAGGATTTGACATATTTTCATATTAGCATAATCTTATCCTATAACTATCAAATATTAATAACATTTCTGTTTTTTTTGTTTTATTAAATAAAAAAAAGGAAAAAGGTTTGAATAAAAAGAAAAGTGTTTCTCGCACTGTATGTTCTTTTTGCGGGAGAAATCTTTTTATTTCGCTCCATTCGCGAATCCTTTCGCGCCATCTTTCGCGACCGCTAATTAACGATCTCGTTATCTTCATGGGCGATTGCGCGCGACATTTGTACGGTAAACGTGACATGCTCCGCCGTTTTCCCGCCACTTGATTTTCCGCCTTCGACGTGCCCCCATTGTCTCCGTTAAGTGCCCGGGGCAAAAGTAATTGGTCGCGCGTCGAATGAGCCGGAACGCTCCCGATAGCGCTTATCGACGCCGAACATGCGAGCAAATTGCGAACGCACGCGAGCACGTGGCGGTTTCGTCAGCAGGTCGCGAAAAAAAAACAAAGAACAATCGATAATATTCACAAACTTCGAGTTGCGTTTTTAATAGGTATTTGCATCTCTCTCTCTTTCTATGTTTTAAAGAAGTTTATGAATTTTGGAAGAATTATAGATGGATATCAAGCGTAAATTGTATTGTTAAAAGTAGACGAATCAAAAGTATGTGTGCAAAAAAAATACTCGATACTTCAAACACAATATTTTTCAAAAACAAAAGTAAAATCCATTAAAATTGTCGAATAAACGTGGCTCAATGCTACCTTTGTAAAATAAGCGTTTTAACAATATAATGTTGCTAAATAAATAAATATTATGCTAAATGCCATTATTACATTATCTCGAGAATTCTCTCAATTTTCTAGGAAAGCATCGTCAAGTTGACGATTTAGGATAGTTCGCAGCGCGTGAACATTTTCGCACGAATTTGCTAACCGGTCGAGCAATAAAAAGCGATGGGAGCAAAGGGAAAGGAGGGAGAAAAAACGCGGCGGGAAGGCGCTGAAGGATTCTTGCAATTACGGGAGTTTTAGTGGCACGAGTAGTGCGACTCGAAGTATGCGCGCACGGGACGCGTAGTAGTCGGGCACATATTTGAACACGGGGTGAAATGAGAACTGCTCGGCCCGGGAGAATATTTCCCACCGAATTCCACGTTTCGCGCGTTTTCGTCGTCGTCGACATATTACTTCGGCGACGTAAATTAAAAACTTCGTTTCCGCGCGCCACTTCGGTTACTCGCTTTTCTTTGATCCACCGAGCGTGCGAGCTTTTTTTCACTGTTCCTCTTTTTTTTACTGCTGCGAGAACGCAATATGGTATTTCGGTGAAAAAGGGTAATCAGTAATTCCGTAGAAGAGTTTTACAACTCCCGTTGCAAAACTACTCTGGGAATGGTATTGTGCGAAGAAACACGTAACTTTATGAACGTCACAGATTTCATACATTATCTTTATTTTCCATACTTTGTATACTAATTCTGTATACAATTTACTAGCTGTAATAAAAATTGTAGTAAAGTATCTTCTTATTAATTGATTAAAAAAAGGTATTGTTTTCTCATATACATTATCATACATATATATATGTATAAAATTTACTTTAAGCTAACGTTTTTCATGTTTAATCTTGTAAAACTTATATAGTTATGTTTTAATCATTCATTTTTTTAATTTATGCGAAAGATGTTAAAACACAAAACATATCGCTTCAAAGTTATGTAGCTTATCTGCAAGTCGAAACTTGCACGACGTTGTTCCACCATAGATATTAGATATATACCGCAATAACTTTGCAGTCAGGTCATGTGTATGCATATTTAAACGCGCGCTAGTATTATATACACTGTTCTTTTAGAATATAATAAATTATGTTTATACAATTCATATTTCTTACAAACATAAACAATGTTTTAAAAAAATCTCCACAAGTAGTTTTAAAGTAATGTCTAATAAATAAACTATTCTACAATTTTAAATTTTAAATTTTTTTAAAGATTTTTTTATGTATTATACATAAGCTAATTTTATATTTAACACCTAAAAGTCAATTTTGAATTTCAGCTGGATATCTAATTAAATCAATCGATTTTCCATCAATTGTTAATTTTATATAAGTAAGGATAAGCGGTCGCCGGAATGAATTCGCACGATATGTCGATCAACATCTTCGCGGACGTCGGAAGATCTGTGCGCTTCGCTCCCGCGTCCGGCATGCACGGACTCTTATCACTGTCACTTTCCGGCCGAGCGACCGACTTTCTCCCCTGCTGGTAGCTGCTCGCTCACCCCCTCGGTCGACCAATCGACGCGCCCCTTTAGCGCGTCGCGCCGGCCGGATCCGCAGCGTGGCGCGGTATCACCGCCGGTGCGGCACATGCGCGCGCCCCATCGTCGTATATCTATAAGGGTAGCTACCCTCGGCGAGGCCGGTCAGTTCTCGCCCGTCCGGGGAATCGGGCCGCCGATTCGCGAGATCGCGTTCCGCCTTCGTTTCGGTCTTCATCGTCCACCCCGACAGGGGCCACAAACGCGGATTGTTTCGCCGACCGGAAATAAACGCCACGATGCTGGCCGCGGTTTAGGAAACCCGTCCCTCGCGGGAGTGGAGCTCACGAAAACACGTGTGTACGAGACGCTGTGGGATGGTTGTATATGCCAGCCGGGGATTGCGTACCGGTCTCGCTGGCGTCACTGATGGGTAAAAGTGTCCTCGCCGTGGGAGGAGTGACGATATATAGTAAGGATCTAATACTAAAGAAAAACGCGGTCACAAGTCGAACCTTGCTTACCCAAGAAGTCGTCTCAGGAGATAAAATTTCAGTAAAAGTGTCATCAAATCTCGCGTATAAAGTTACATATGTGTTCGATCGGATAACAAAAGATTTGATTAATGCGGGCGAAATGTGTGTCGGTCCAATTGTTCAGCATCGGCGATGCTGAGCAACTTGAACGACAATACAATTGCATGCGTATCGTTCGGGGATGTTGATTTTAATCGAGTCGATATATGACAGTTTTACCAGTTATCGCTTCATCAATTATTTTCGAGCGACACGGAATGACACATCGTGAGGATAAAGTTAGTCAACACACGCCAACAATATCGTGCACTAATCACGTAGTCGCGTATTGTCCAGCAACTGTTGGCCAAATGACTGCAATATGTGGCAATATCAGTGAATGGCGTATTGATGGCGATGACGTTGGCTGGCACAAGTGGTTGCGATTTAATCGTCACATGTTACACCGGCAATACGTTGGCCGAGGTACTACCCAAATCCTGCAGCAATCACTTGCCAATTCGTTTGTCAGCAATATGGGGCAATATAGAATGAGAGATACGAGTTCAACGAACGAGCGAAGTTACTCGACAGCGGGCGGAATGTGCACAAATTTAATTGTTCCATACTGCCAGTGTGTTGACCAGCCGAAATCCTACAGCGATTAGATTTTCGGCGATACGAGTGAGTGCCGTACAGATAAATTTAGTTAAAATCGGCAGAATGTGTACAGATGTAATTCTCGTATATCAGAAATAATGACCAATCGAAACTGTTATAATAAATATAACAAGTTTTTACGTTTCGGTGTCATGACGATGATATACACAGTACGTAAACAAATTTAATGACTGTAATATCGACTGAAATATCGGCTAAACAAAATGCTTACGTTCTGTTTTCTAATTTTACTTTCTAATAGTAGAAATATTGACTGATTATACAATTGCGCTATACAAACTATTTTCATAAGCTTATTAGAATCAACTGGAGTTCAACTGATTCCACGATTCTTTCTAAAATATCAGTAAGAACGATATCTTATGGTTAATTATAATAAACGTTTACATAAAATAATGTTACAGATCAGTTGTTAAATTCATAGCAATATGAAACAATGTAAAAGTGACGAATCTTATCGAGAATCTTGAATTAACTTCGAGCAATTTGATTATTTAAAGATTTTCTTCATGGATTTGGGAAAAATGTTTTTAATATAAATAGAAATGATAAGACATACCAAAACTTTTGTAGTGTACGTAATAAACACAAAAAAGTAATAATAAGTTCCCATTTGTTTCAAAGTGCATTCCTATAATGTCCGAGAGGATATTATAATATTAATCATACTAGTATATTTTACAATGTAATCGTGAGAATTTTAATTAAAATTACAAGCATATTTAATGAACCGATGGTGATTCAATTATTAATACGGATATATAAATAGACTATGAGTAAAATTTATTTAAATTTAAATTTTATTTTATTTTTAATCAATTTATTTTGGTAAATTCTATTGTCAAATAAAGTTCTTTTTATAAAACGCGAACACTATGTTTGCCGCAATAATTACAAGCTACGAACTCTAAATTTAACAAATCATTCAATAAGGAAGGATATCTTTAGCTTGAATGACTTGTGTCTTTGAGCAAAGAGCACTGCAATTAGACAGAAGGGTTTGATGTCGGACGACGTACTTCAAATGCAATCATATATGATTGCCCTCTGAACTTTAGAAATGCGATATCATTACAACATAATTTCCAACAAATCCTGAGGTGTAGTTTATTTCAATACTTTGTGACCTCATTACTCGAATCGTAATTAAAATAGGGAAAAAGAGAAAACGTGACAAATGTTCGACAATAAATGCAAACGATAAAAATATATCTGAATTAATTAATTGCTGTCTGTAATTGCAATTCATGGTTTTATATAAAGCGATTAATGTTTATATTTAATTTAAACATTTCATTATTTTCCTATATATGTAATGATATTCTTTGTTGCTTTACGATATCTGTATCAGTAATGGCTGCATATTCTCATCAAAAAGGAATCAAACTCATCCTAAAAAGTCTGTGTGATATAAATTCTCAACTCTTCTAACACGATTCACATAATAGCAGCATGCAGCATCTGCTATGCTTGAACGTATGCTTTATTTAAATATCTACTCGCAAAATTGTTAATATGTACCAAGTGACTAAGCTTAATTAACACGTTTTCCCTATTCGTCGCGGAAGATTTCTGTAATTTCGCCGGAATGGGATTCCCTGCGAAGGGATTCTCCTCGGGTGTAATCGAGTGTGGCGCATCTCCATCTCCAGAACGGTCTCCGGAGAGATTATGAATTAGCGAGCGTGTTTGCCGAGACAATCTCGGACTCGTAGACGTTAGCTGGCGATATCCCACGCGCGTCTCTCGGAATCTAGTTCATCGTGTTTAGCTAACGTCAAATGAGTTATTCCGCACGAAAGCACAAAACGGATTCGCTGCTTACTGCGCGGTATTACTGCTCGCCGAGTATATGTGCATATAAATTCTCTGTATTTTACATTAACCCTCCCATCGGGAGCCTCGTGTGAGGACGCGTTAGAATCCTCATGTAACGATTAATTTGACCAACTGCCTCAAAGACAATTAAATTTTTTATATACAAAAATCTTATTAGCCACCATCCCATTTTTAGATTTTATATTAAGCTATTGAGGTATTGAGTATCCAAATTCTTTTTAAGTTATTATAACAATAATATATAAAGTTATTATACTAATAATTTATAAATTACGTAAAAATAATTTGTAACAAGCATTTCTTACAATTCTTAATTCGTTAAAGACATATATTTCCAATGGTGTAAAAGTTTTAAGTGAAACTAAACTAAAGTAAACTCGAAAAGTCGAAATAGAAAAGAAAAGAAAAGAATTAAATAAGATAGACTTGAAAAGGACAAGGCAATTTTAACAAGTAGTGTAGTTTGTTGTCCACAAACGCGAATGTGAAAACTCATTGTGCTGCAAACAGAGAATCGAAAACATCGATTCGATCGGCTCGAAACACGATGCTATCGCTGGTATTGCAAGTCTCTATATTGTAATTGTATTTAGAATGGGGTAGGATATCTACTGTCGAAGTTTCTCCTGAAACAACATTCCCTAAGGCATTGCAGAAATAGTTGCAGAATATATAACAATGCACAATATATAAAAGATATTCAATTATTCCAGAATATAATTAATTATTAATTTAATTTAATATTAATTATTAATTAAATGTAAAAATATAAAGTATTAATATATTTTCTAAATCTGGCAAAAGTTCAGCATTTCTTGAAAATTATTAATATTCAAAATAATAAACATTTTATAATTAAATTTCGAATTAAGTTAGTTTCTATTGATTTATTCGGAATTCAAAAATTAAATCTCACTACATATTTTAATTCTTTATTAAAATTTATCAAGAATATTATTAATAAGCTCTTTGCTCCACAAGCAGAATTTGTAATCGTAAAAGATTCGCAATTTCAAACGTTTAGCAGTTAATTTCGAGTCTAGTCAAATTCCTTTATTAGTATCATGAATTCTGGAGATTCCTCTACCGGTACAAAAGCAGCTGATTAATGTTGAACGCGCGTGTGATAAATGATCGACGTCTTGGCGGAGAGGAAGATGATGGAGAATCACTGGCCCAGTGCTCTCTCGCAGCTCGTCGCTGCGGTTTGATCGAAGGGGTATTTCCACCCCTCATACACGCGGAAACTTCTTTCAGAAGATAAACCGCTCTCTTTCAGCCTCCATGTCGCCCTCGAGGCGCGGCCAAGGGGGCACGAAAGTTTTCCCGGAAGATTCACAAAAGATTTTTTGGCCGCGTCGCGACGTAATCCGGACAAGGCCAACGGAGTACCGTTTGGGAAATTTATAAGAAACTAACGAAGAAACTCGCCCGGCCGGAAACTCTCGAGATACCCGAAAAGCGATCTCATTCAATCGTGGAAACAGAGTCTGAATATAATTCAGAGAAGGAAAAGTTACAAGGCTTGATGAAGAGATAGAATTCTCAATGCCCCAGATATCTTGCAAATAATAGAGAATTAAGTAATTTAAAATAAATAAAACTAATATAAAAAAGATTCACTTAAGAGTATATTAAATAATAGTAATACTTATGTAGAAAATATATGTACAAAAATATATGTATAATAATGGCAATAGATAGATATTAGAATTATTTTAGGCAATCTATTCAGATAAATGTAATATTTTTTGAATTCTTATTACAAATAAAGTGTATTTTAATAGAAGTTTTAACACAGGCTCGATTACTCTAATTTTAATTTAGAAAGGATGCTAACAAATCATGGAAATAAATTAATATTACATATATTAAAAAGTTGAAAAAAATGATCTGTCCGATTCGATTCGAATTACAACACAAAAAAATTCAAATTCACGAATATCTAAAAATAAAAGAAACTGTATGTAAAACTATAGTATTTTAAGTAACAAATTACATCTTAAAAAATCCTTCGGTTTTAATCTCGCACTGTCATTCGCGCTGTTAACTAAATCACTCTTGCTCTTTTTTGTTATATAATTAAATATAAATAATGAAAAATTATACTTCTTGAAGAAAACTTATTGACTGTGATGTATCGCGCGTCAAATCGTTAGCGTGCCTGACACATATGTGGACCCTTATAATCCTGAAGCTTGCTGCAAAACTAGGTCGAACTTTCACATGGAAGGAAATTAGGGACGAGTTTCCGCGTGCATCATTCCTGTTGAAATGGAGAAGGAAGGGGGAATCGATCCTGGAATTATTAGGTAATTACCGTCGTGCGGCGGGAATAATTCCAGAATCGATTACGTTGGAACGGATGAGAAGCGAAGAGGACCACAAACAAGCCAATATTTTCAAACTTCATCTTTATAAGGATTAAGTGTCGATTCGTTTAATATTAGTTTGCTCACATATGTCTATCGAATGAGATCATGCAGTTTGGAATTAACAAGCAGAAACTGTTGGGATTGTTCTCTTTTAATTTTAATAGATTTTAACTTAAGTAAACACTAAAAGAAGATATCAATATTAATATCGAATGATATTAGTATAAAAATAATTTCGCGAATGTGAAATTGTCAGAGAAATAAAAAAAATTACACTTTAGAGAAACTTCACGGATAAGCAAGGTTGTGATACACTTTTCGAATACTTATTACAATATTTCGAAAGTAGAAGCGATACTCGGAATACTACGAAAGGTCAGAGTATGGAATGAATTTTGCAGGAAATCGAGGACGCGCTATTACAACGACGGATTCTATATGAGACAATCCCACGATCCCGTCAATCCTTGATGTCTCCGTCGTGAGCCTTCGGCAGCTGCTCGCTCTACGCGCGAGAACGCGGTCCTACGGGACTCGGGATCGACGCACCGACGTGGTGTGAACGAGGGAACAGGCGGATAAAGATAAGGTTAAGGACGATGGGAGTGCCGGACGTGGAGCAGGCCAAGAAGCGACTCCAGGACATACTGAGGCGAGCGCAGAAGCTTGAGATACCGACGCAGGAGGTGATCTCGACGAGAACGGCGCGTAAACTGCTCGCTAGAACGCGCAATGTCCTGGCGTGGACTATCTGGATCGGAGTGTTCGTCGTCCTGCTCAGTGGCGTTGTCTACGCTCGTTGGCCTACACGACAGGACGTGGAGACCGTCAGGACCGTGTTGAGGCGAACAGTCAGTATCCGATCTATATGTCTTTCTTTTCTTAATTCTACGAATAATATCAAATAATACCACGTCAAAATGGATATCCATTTTTCACAAATTAAAAGGCTCATAGATTGGTATTTTTCGAGAAACAAAAATTCAAGAACACGACGGCAACGATATGAACGGTACACCTCTCTCTTCGCCGCCGCGCCGTCAGTTTTCAAACTCGCGATATTCTTCGCGGCGAGGGAAAAGGCTGAATTTCAATTCGCATAAAATTTTCTCAAACGCGAATTTCCGTTTTCGTTTACATACGAAGGAAAAATAAAGCTTCCTTCTCAGTGTTGAAAATTTTCTTCCTGCTTCCCTACCCGTTCTCTGCGCCTTCTGTTTTCTTACGACGATCTTGTTACATATCTTTCCTGTACTGCAGAGAACGTGTCAACGGCTTTGACTCTCTGACAAATATTCGCGACCTGGTCAACACATACACATCATATTTTCTCTGCAAAAAGTACTTTATCTTTATTGACATGTGGGGCATTTTTCGCTAAATGCGTAACTTACAGCTTTATCACTTGATGGATATTTTCATTTAAATTCTTGCTCAAAATAATTCATGCTTGATTGACAATTACACTAATTTTATATCTTCTTTTAAACATAAATATGCGTATACATCTATAAAAAATAATTTAGCTATTACCAGTATTATGTTAAAAAATTACATATATATAAATATATGTATGTATGTATATATATCTATATGTATAATTATAATTTCTGGAATATAAATTTTAACATAATACTGATATTACTAGCTAAATTATTTTTTTGATCTAATTAAGACGCCGAAAAGATAATAAATATAAATTAAGAGATATTAATACATTGACATTTCAATATATTAACCAATATACCTATTTCTTATTTAATTTCCAATTTTTTAGCATTTCAACTAATGATAAACTACTAGCGTTTAAACTAAATGATATAATGTCGTTTGATCACAGTACTTGAATTTCGCTGATTTTGGAAAGTTAGTCAATTAAGCTCGCGGCGGTCACATGCTGGTGTGGTCGATAACGCCGATCACGTTGAAGGAGGGAGAACGTTAGAGGTAGTAAAATAAAATCGCTTGGCCAGTGATATTTATTAGACGGCACCGGCGACGGTTACGGCCGATAAATGGCACAGACCGCGGCATGGAAAATTCACCTCGTAAATGGAGGCGTGCAAACAATAGTTATCGGATAAGCGTTTTCGCGGGATAAAAGCTGATCGGTCGCGGGCGTCGCGGCAATACATGCCTGACGATTCGCGATTTTCTCTTGGACTATCGCGTCGATCGCCATTCGGAAGGGATCAGTGAGAAAGAATTTTGCGCCATTATGAAGTATGTCATACGAGAAAGCAAACATTTGAAGATTATCTAAAACATTATTTACATCCCTTTAACAAATGCGCAAATAGATGTCTGTTATTGATAATACGTCAAGTTTAAAATGATGAGGATTGTCTCCAACCGCATTTCACAAGAGGTTTTTAATTTATTCATTAAGTAGTCTATTTGAATGTGCGTTCCGTGCGAAGTAAATGATTCGATTTTCAAGTATCACGTTCCTTTTTTGCACTTAATGACTCTCAATCGAGAAGTGATTTCGTTGCTCGCTTCGATTTCCCGACAAATTTTAATATTATCGATACTCGATCGCGCAAAATCGTACCAAAGGAGTATCAGGGCGTTAAAAGGACTAAAAAAATCGAGACCAGCGAAACAGCCTAAATGAAAGAGATTGCAAGTTCAAAGAGAGCTATCGCATGTGATCTATTGAAAATGCACACACACACACACACACACACACACACACACACACACACACACACAACACACACACACAACACATACACACAACACACGCGCGCGCGTGCGATTGATCAGTAAAATCATTTTGCCGGCCTCATCGAATTCGAGTTGCATTTCATTGCGATATGTTACACGATATTTTCAAAATAGCCTCTCTCGGAATTATGCGCTATTGCACATAACGCGATTTTCAAAGGACTCACAAATCGATGTGTAATGCCTTTTGGAAAAATATATTGATCTAAATTAATAGATGCATAAATATGCATGTATGTATGTATGTGTACATAAGTGTGTGTTTAAAAAATATGGAGAAATAAGGAGTAAGTCAAGAAATAAAACAATCTTTTTTTTTTTTCAAATTAAAAAAGTTCAATAGTAACCGAAACCAATATATTACGAAATAGTGACCGTGATAAATATTTTACGTGTATCGCTATCGCAAACTCAACAAAAATTATTAGTCGCAAAAACTAAATATTTCGGTTTCGGTTAAAAATAAAAAAAAAACACACGCGCTGCATACGCCTTTTTGTTTAAAACAAACGCCGTCGGCGTTGTTCGTAATTATTTCAAAACGGCCGCGGCTGCATATGTTTCAATTTACGCTCCAGTATCTTCGTTTTAGTTTTTTGTCGTGTGTTTGTTCCTGATTGTCGCTGCGTTTATTATTTCTACCCTTTTCCCGTGTTTGTTAATTAAATCGAGAGAAGAAGTTAGAAATCGAGTGCATTAATACAAAGAAATAGTATAAAATAACAAGTTATAGCAACCATGTATAAAATATTTAAAAATCACATATCTTCTATTATTAAAGAAAAGTTTGTATTTGTGTTAACTAAAGAATTCGTAATGGAAGGTATATTCAAAATCGATTTTGTCGCTCTTTGCATTTTATATTCTCATTATATTTAATTTGTTTAATATTTAAAATTCATTTTGGATAATTTAATATCTCGGCAAAATTCCACGTGTAATTATATATTAATTAGAATTACATTTTCCATATTATATTTTATAACATAAATTGAGAAAATTATAATTTAGAAATTGTTTTATACTGGTCTGATAAATACATTACTTTAAAGTAAACTAAGAATTTAATATACATACGCGCGTATATATACCTACACATATTAAGAATGAGAGAGAGAGAGAGAGAGAGAAAATTATCAGGCTCCAATAATGAGTGCATTTTACATCATTCTGCATCGTCTATAATTTTTAATTTCCTAGCTTGCCTCAAAATAACGAACTGATCTCTCGGTTGCTCTTTCACTATTGGAGTCTGATAATTCGCTCTCTTTCTCCTTTTTTTCCGCGCTTCACAGCCACGAATCGAGACGTCGAAAAGCGACCAGAGAGCCCGGCGGGCCCACTCGAGGTGCTCAATTTTCATGGAAATAGCATCGAAACAGCACGATTTCCTGCACTTTCCCGCTACCACTGTTCCCGTCACGTTCCTTTCACTTTCACGTGTACGTATGCGAGTTGCGTGTATATACGCGTAGATCCGTTTCCTTCTCATTCAGAGAAGCTTTCGATTCAGTCGATTACTACTGCGCCCGTTTTTTCGTCAGAAAAAGAAACTGAAAAAATCGTGGCTCTACATGCGGAATGGCATGTGTTTCGCACTTGTACGTTTCGTGTTCACGTTGAAAAACGACACACGTATTCCACTGCATGTTTCAAAATTGGTAGAAATTAAAATCTCATTTAATGTTAGAACCGCGGCGATTTAGATCTGTCCTAGAACCGTGGATAAGTTCTTCATGATCATGTTATTCTTTTGTGATTTTTTGATAGGTGAACAAAGTAACTAAATACTATACTTTCATTAATACTAATTTACGCATGGTTATAGACGAGAGTAGCAAAATAACTATCAGATGAGTAAAAAGTAACACAGCCGCAGTACTATTAAATGTACTTTTAAAAAAGTCAAATTTTCCAAGATCAAAATTCTACTTGTAAGAATATGACATTATGCTGTTAGCTAAAAGCTTAACGCTGTTCTAATTACCTACTTTGAACTTCTTGAGTGAATGAAGTTTGTCGAGATCAATATAATCCTTTATGATTCCGTTTTCGTAATATATGTATACGAATGTAATATTCAACATATCAAATCCATCATAATAAACTCGTTTCCTATCTCTTCAACAATTTTTAAATTGTCTTATTAATTTCTAATATATGTCTTGCATTTCTCAAGTCGTGATATTAACTGAAAAAATGTAATTATACATTTCTCACATTTTTTAGTTTTTTACAACTGATTGAGAAATGTAAACCTAACATTTTTATTGCGTAGTTAATATTACAGACAAGCAACTATTTTTCACTTTATTACGAATACACCACTTTAATTAATAATTTTACTTTGTTTAGAACAGTAATTGTTATCTAACATTACATTCACAATACAGAATTTAAAAAGTGAGAATTAATCTACTTTTTTATAGCTTGTGATACAATTTCTATTCAATATAATGTTTTGATGATAGATATGATATATAGACCGGTAGATAAGTGATGATTTCCTTGCTCATAAATAACTGTTACATGATTTATTTATGCAAAAGTGTGCAAAGAAATGCGTACAGAGTCAATAAACATGTATAGATAGCCGCTGCTTACTGTCGAAGAATGTTAAACTACTTCTCAGCGGATCTCTTTCCTTCAAGAAAGAGCGGTAAAGTTGGAAAGAATCTCGGAGGAATTTTAATATCCACGTAGAGTGTTTCATCCGCGGGCGCTCCGTATGCGCTTGCTAAATTAAAAAATGCCCCGTTAAATAGTAAGTAGTTGAAAAAGTACGTAGGGCGTAGAGAGCGCTAACGAGGTCTACAAAGTATGCATAAAAGAAGCGATAAGAATCCCGTCTTGGGATTAAACGGAGTTGTTTACTCCCCGGTCGCTTTCATCGAAAGAAAAAGGATCGGAAAATGAAACTTTATATTCTTATACTTTTATATAATCAAAAAATAATATTAATCGGAGCGGAAAGAGAGTTAGAATAATTGGGAGGAAAGAGAGAGAGGGGGGAGTGGGTAAAAAAGAGAAGGAGAGAAAAAATAGTTATCATTTTGTTAAAATTCTTTTTTAAATTGAATTAAGACTAATGTTTTTATCTATAATTGGTGAAAAACAAAGT